GTGTGGGAGGTGTTTCTGGGGTTGGACGTGGCGTAGTTGTTCCTGGAGTAGTTGTTCATGCGCCTGATCTCTGTCTTCTTCTTCTTCTTCTTCTTCTTCTTCTTCTTCATCTTCGTCTTCTTTTTTTTCTCCATTCTCTCTTTCATGTTTTTCTTCCCCATCGTCTTCGTCAGAAATAGTCGTTATCTCACCGGTACCGTAAACAGCGCGCTGGTACTCGCTTGGATCGTATGAAGACCGTCTCCTTTTCTCTGCGGATGGAATAGTCGACACATCTTTATAGTTTCGTTTCTTTGCTGAAGAAGGTTTGACTGGTTTTGCCTCCGCAGGCGTGGATTTCCCAGGCGAACTGAAAAGGCCAACGACATTTTTGAGGACGTTCATTCTGGATGTTGAATCGGCGGCAATGTTGGCGTCGGGGAGAATTGGCGATATGAAATATCAGTGGGGCAGGGGCTTCTAGATGCGGGAGAGATCAATTAAGCAGTTTCTTCCGCTATTGGCTCTTGTATGTGCATCGTAGTGGCTTTGTCTTTGTAGACCTGTGGCCGCATGCGGCAGTCTGTGAGAGCGCGCCGCCGGATAAGGTTTGCACTTGTTTCTACAGGACAACAAAGACTCCAAGGTTTGCATTGCCTAGAAACGAAGACATCATCACTGTAATACAAAGAAACATCACAATCTCACTTTTACCTTTGCACGTCAATATCTTAAGAGCAACTATAAAGAAACCGGATGCGAATTTGAAATCAAATGGTGATTCTGCAGAGAAAACCTTTCTTAGATCTCTTCTATCTCATAAAACAGCTAACTCTAAGCAAGCCGGTCCTACTCCTCGTTTGCTTGTTGCTCTCACCAAGATTTGTCCGATCCTACTAGAATCGGGGTCGTTCTCTCGGGTGGGAAGGATGGGGTCAAACGGGATAAACGGTCGGAAACTATCATTGTACAAGCCCCTCACAAGTGTTATGATAATCCCGGGCGGTCACGGCAGGCTGCGAAAGACATACTAGCGGTGTGCCTCAGATTATAGGCTACATTATATATGCAATGCTCTGCAAAGATATTTGCCAAGAGTGATTACCTATTGAGCTTCCCAATCTCTTTGAAGCTCCGTGACTTTAGCAAAATCGTCTTCCGACAGTTTTTTTGAAGTCTTGACAGTGACGCCCTCATGGCCAGCCTGACAACCCATGAGTGGCAACGTCCCTGCTACTAAGAAACCACGACACGTAACGCAAAGCTTTGTCGACACACAATCGCGACAAACCCAGTAGTCTTCGGGGTACCCCGAATGCGTAAGCAGCGAGCAATGAGTCTGCGCGACTTCACCTACATTGAGCGATTTAGTTTTGCACTGGCGTCCGTCACATGCCATCGAAGCATATGAAGGCAGGTAGTTATCGTCCGGCGATCGGTCTGAAGGAAAATACTCGCCTTTCTGAATGGCTTTCAATTGGTCGTAAGTCGTTTCGTCGAGAAGATGGTCTTCCATGAGGTTTGCGTCTGCATATTGCCCAGAGGATATCCAATCATTCTGCTTCCTCATATCGACTTTTGTCTACACCCATGCGGCGTGAGTCCCGATACACCTTACATAAGGTGGATAGACGATCGCCGTCTGCATCGTTGGCGATGGTATTGCTCAAAGCAATATGCATGAAGCTGTTGCAAGGCTTGTCAGCCTGGTAAGCGAATGTTTTGATTAGGCGGTGCCGGTAAGACTTGTAGAAGGACATAAAGATGTCAAAACCACCGTCGATGCCTCTTCCGCGAACAGCGATTCCTAAGGTATCAGAAACCATCTTGCAGGACAATGAGTCACCATTGTTGCTCTTGAACATGCTGACTGCCGACTCTCTGAATAGCATCTCTTTGAAACTGTCTTCCCAATGCGACTGCCACTCGAGCATGTCGTCGATCGCCCTCATCACTGACTGGGGCTCAGCCTTGCAGCTATTCATGAGTATCAGAGATTGATCGCAAAAGCCATACGCTGCGTCAAATGCTTCCCTTTTCTCCATGCCAAAATCAGCCTTCCAGGACGTCGCTTCAGCCATCAACACTGCAGCCCGCCAATCGGTCCCGATGTGATTAGAGAGTAATGTGTCTGGCGCATTTGTGTGATCGCCAAACGCACATAAGATTGCCGCGGTATGAACGTCGAGATCGGCTTTGTCGGTTATTTGAACATTCCCGGCCTTAACCCAACTCAAAATTTTGAACCAGTTGGGTGGCGTAAACCAGTCGGTGCAGTTTTGGTCGTCGTAACCTTCATAGCTTTTCTTCCAAGTATCACGCTGCAGTTCCAGCTCAGGTGTAGTCGTGAACCAATGGAACATATGCCTGATAGTTGCTCTTGCCCAGAAGGATTTGCTTTGCAACCATCTTCTCGCTACCATTTGACTTGTGATCCTTCTCAAGTCATCGGCACATTTAATATCTGGCCAATTCAAACCCAAAACATGTGTCGATGCCTTGTATTTAATTAGCCCGGCCTCCATGCACTTGAACGCTGCCTCGAAATATTCTTTATTTGCGCCCCAGCTCTTATTTGTCTGCTCTTGTGCTTCAACAGGGAGAAACACGTTCAACATATCGTCCTGGAGGAAAAGTGTTGCGAGGTTCCTGCCTAGCTTGACTCCCACGTCAGCATTCAGCTGGACTGTCCGAAGTCGAAATAGGATCTCTGGTAGCAAATCACGAGCAAATGCAGACATAGCGGTTGTCTGTTCGTTCCGGTCACCGTTAACATTTTTTTTCAAGTTTCCCAAACTCTGAATCAAGCATACCGCTGTATTTGCCATCGCGGTGTCCCAATCAACGATGAATTGCGACAGCGCAGAACTTTGTTTCTCCTTAGACTCGAAGAACTCTTTATTGAAACCATGTGCATCTAGAGCCTCTGGGGTGAAAGTTGCAGTCAGAAACTGTTGGATAGCTCGTAGTTGAGCGTGGCTGCCATTTTGTAAGAGCGCATGCGCGACCAAATTCTTGCGAGGATCGACTAGCAGGTATTTCGCAATCTCGATTGCGGCAAACGTGAGGTAGTTGCGATGGTCTATCGTCAACAGGCAAGAGTAGGCAGACTCTATGGTAGACTTGACCACAGTGGAAGGGTCCCCATCTCGTGCGACAAAATCTTGAACGATCGCTAATCGCGGCATCGCGACTCCCAGATGGTTCAGGGCCGCTAGCAAATGGAGGGTTTCCTTCAGCTGCAGCAAATCTTTCTCTGGTAGCTGCTTCGCTAGACGAGATAGATCGTGCAAAGCAACATCTTGACGAGACTGATGGTTTCTCATCATGACTCGCTCGACTTCAGACCGTGATGATGCACGGCGCATGCTTGAAGTATACCAGGACAGGATATAGTAATCACCTGAAGCCATCTGGACGAGTCGCTCACTGACGTTTGCTTGGAAGTCGTCGTTCTTAAGTGCTTGTCTAAACAGATCGCATCTCGAAAGAAAGTCATTCGCGACTAATGCAATATCCTTTGAATGGGGATACCCTTCATGGAGCGAGAGTCTGGCAGCTGTGATGCTAGTGTGCTCGGTGACGGTGCTTAACCAGGTGTTGTTACCTGTGAGTAGAAAGCGCATTCTTGAGCTTGCCGGGCCAGAGCGTTGCAATATATCGCGCAAACTCCCAGATTCTTTCTCTTCCATGAGGTCCAAGCCGTCAAGAACTATATAGCAAGTCAAGTCCGGTATCTTCCGCATTACCTCCTGAACAATACTGTTCCACAAATCTTCGCCCTTGTCATTTTTCGAATCCTCCAATATTGGTTGGGCAAGCTTGAAGAATTGGGCATTCTGGACACAGAGCTGGAACAAGATTGCCCGTACGACGTTTCCGGTAGTTGATAGAACGGCTGTACGATCAAGTAGATAGTAAGCTACAGCTGCGGACTTGTGGTCTCTAGCATGTCTCTGGAGGTGATCGATTGCAGCAATGGCAAGATACGTCTTGCCAGTACTGGAAGCAGCCTCGAGCGCAAGGATTTGCGATTCGTTCTCAGAGGCAATCCAAGCCGTTAGAAGATCATGCTGCAACAGCCACTCTCCTGTCTTACGCACACGATGGTCAGCGCATGCGCGATAACGAGAAGTCCAGGGCTCGCTGTCGATGTGGAGCCACTCCTTCAGCTTTCCAATCTTGCTTGGTTCTAACATGGTGTGCATAATGGTGCCGACACTTTCGCGAACCGTGAGGACGTTTGTGTGTATTTGGAGAACCGTTGACAGGACCAACGCAGAAGACAGTTTGTTCTCTTCTTCTACAAGCTGTCGCAACTGTGTCAGATGCGCGTCCACTCCTTGATCATCACCTGCCATTGTCTCAAAGAACATCTTTGTAACTTTGGCAATCTCTTTGAAGCCTTTCGCCTTCCCCGAGTCCTGTGTCAATTTGACGTAGAGAGCGACGCAATCGACAACGTGCTTGAGGATAACACTCAGGAATTGAACCTATCACGCAATCAGTTCAGATGCTCACTTGAGATGACCGGCTTGGACAGAAGGATACGGCCGTGTTTTGCACTTACGAATTTGGGATGCACTGTTGCACCAGCCTTCTGAGCTTCCATAACCATGTCGAATCTCATAGAGAAGAAACCGACCTGTTCAAAGAGATTTGCCGCGCTTATGAAAATCTCGTGGTAGTTCTTAGTCGTTTCGACGAGTAACTCGATGGATTTAGACAACAGTGTAACCCCAGCCCCCACAAAGGGAATGCTCGTGGCCATAGGCATGAGGAACTCCTGGAATTTCCAAATCACACGGAAAACCCCAAAGAAGATGGTTTTGGCTTTCTCGAACATGCTCCTGATTTTGTCTCGTTTGCGGATATCAGGGTGTTCTCCCCGATTAGCGACGACAACTTCTGCTAAACCCGCCTTGAGTATTTTGTTCACCTTGGCGCTGATCTGGGTTTGGAACCCGTTTTCGTCCTTTTCCTGGTCAATCCTGTTACGGAGGCTGATGCCCGTCACTGCGACGAAATTTTTCTAGGCGGACACGTTGATGAGTGTTGGATCAATTGGTATTACTCGGTAGCACTACCTCGGCTTGGTCCCATAACTTCTCAAGATCTTCGTCAGGCTTGTTATGGAGGGCAACTTCATTGCTTATGATTTCCTTTTCTGGAAGCTCCCTTGATTTGCTAGGTTGCATGTTTTCTGCTGTTGACTGAATGTTAATGTTGAGCTGACTGCACATCATCCGAAGGACATGCGCATTTAGGTATTAAGTGCAGCAATCTCATACAAGCGGGTCATTTATGTTGATCTGAGGCGCTCGCGCACGTCCCCGTCCGTCCACATCTGCCATTCTGTTACAAGCATTACCGATCAGCGCAAAGTGGCTGGACGTCTAGAACCGAAGCTTGAGAGGACTTGACGTGATGGCGCATAGATCGACCTTGCCGAGACCAAGCCAATGCAAAGGCGCAAGCTGAATAATCGAAATGTGCGGCTGCTAGCTTAGACCATGCGCAAGACTTGGTCCCCCAACGTACTTCAATTCCTACGTGAAAACTTCCACTTTTAACATGGGTGGCAGGCTGCACCAGTCGTTGGCAATACTCGCTGCAACTAGCTTTAACCATCTACACATGTCGACAGATTGAGTGTTCTCGTGTCGTTTGGGTGCTTGTAATGATTTTCGGCCAGTTGCGCATTAGTGTGTGGGGATACATCTAGCACTCGTTAAGTTGTGCTTGACTAGTGCGGTGCTTCTGACACTACTACGTTGCTTTTGTTTCGGGCTATGATCCTAATGAGATGTGTCACGACATGAAGAACTAGGTCATGTGCTTTGCACTTCTAATTGATAGAACATGTAGGAGTACAGTCTCACCCTTTAGCTTGGTAGGATATCTAGCGATGAGCGAGTCGATAGAGGTTGTGGATCAAAGCTTCAGTTGCAAGGATGCATACTCGAGTGCGGGGAGCATTGGTTCCCCTCGATAACCTTCGCCATGCAGACACAGGCCGAAAACGTTCATATTGGGCCCATCCCATATCTCGGCGACTTTGGCGACGATCGCTACTTGTGGTGTGAGAGTGCACATACCAACAGTGGCACAGTTAGACACTACTCTAATCTCGCAGGTGCATACAGTATTGTACTAGCAGTTAGCTACGCCTTTGTAACTGATTCTTTGGCACGGGTTGTGGCTTATATAAATGCAAACGCAAGCTTCAGTAACCGTAGATAAAGAGGAAATAATAAATAATAGGCACTTATCAATGAGATCTATATACTTGAAAGATTCTTCTTTTTTGTCCATCTCTTTAATAGCTTCTATAGGCATCGTGCTAGAGGCTCTTGTTACGTGGCCATGTCGTATAGCTTCGCAGCTGGTGCGATCCGTTGACTGCCGTAGCCTTCGTTCGCTAACGAAGCCTCTAATTGTAAAATTCATCGTACAGTGTTTGTACAGTTGCTCCAGCGCGTCGGTCGCGTAGCATCGTACGAGGGACATTAAAAGTTCGACTAACTACTCTTAGAGCCTTGATCTGGTTTCTATCAAGGGAAGACATAGTAAGCTGCATATTGGCTTTCGAGGAGTATAAAAAAGGTTGTTGGGGTTGAGACATGATTACTTTGAGCTTGAGAGGTGCGCAAAGTTGGTGGGATGGGCGGCTCGCTTGCAAAATACGTTAGCTTCTTCAGGACGTCCCGTTTGGCTGTCTCTATCAGATCCTGACACATTGACGCCACCTACAGGAAGGTGTGGTTTGAATTTGACATCAAGTGCTGGAACACCGCATTCCGTGTTGGCTTGTCGTACTTCCTCCGCTGGACCAATTCGGAGACACTTGATCCATAATTTCTAATTAGGAAGCGATGCGCATCCTGCAGCCCAGTCGCTTCCATTAGGCAGCGATTTGATCAAGAGCAAGCTGAGCTGACGCAGATGGCAGTACCCAACCTTCCAGGTTCATCCACGATCTGCACTACAAAGCCATGGACTTCAACTATCAACCTATAGGCAATAGCGACCTCCGACTTCTGACTCCTGTTTCTATCCAATCAAACCGTCTTTCCTTCAGCATGACCAGCTTTGCTCAAAACTCAGCACCTCGCTACACTGCGGTCTCATACACTTGGGGCAATGAGACTCCATCGGAGCACATATTCATTAATGGCCAACCTTTCCCTGTCCGACTCAATCTCTAGTCATGTCTGCACTATCTAGCCCAAGACAAAACGGCAGGCTGGACACACCTCTGGGTGGACGCAATTTGTATCGACCAAAAGAACAACGAAGAACGTACCGCGCAAGTTCGGCGCATGGATACAATATATCGCAACGCGAGTGTCGAGTCTGTTTGGCTTGGTCTTCCACCATCTGTGGAGCGATATCGATATTGGCACGAACCAATACGAACTTTTGAGGACTCGGGCTTCGATTTCTACGATCAGATGTCCCATCTAGCAAACCATTCATATTGGACTCGCTTCTGGGTCATCCAGGAGTTTCTCCTCGGCCGAGATGTGAACGTGTACTGCGGAAACACGCGCATGAACTGGCTTGATTTCAAACAAACACTTGGATCATGTGCAGGCGTACTTGAGCGCATCCACCAAGCGTCTATGCCAAGAAACTTTGACAGCGGGCTTTGGAGAGCTTTCCCTCTGATCACCGGACGCCACCCGGATCGCCATCCGAAAATGCATCTTGCACTCTCCCAGTTGCTCATCAATCACAGCACTTCGGAATGCAAAGACCCGCGAGATCGAGTGTTTGCTTTGTTAGGGCTAGTGATGTCAGACGAGCGGGTGCTTCTAGAGCGGTTTTTCCCAGACTATGACATGAGTGAAGACGATGTTGTGCTAATTGCGCTTGCGCATGTGAGGCAGTGCAACTTTGAATATGATGGGCTCGATGATGATACGTTGTTTAAGGGGTTGGGAACCACAAATCTGAAGAAGAGAAAGATGCTTGAAAGACGCGTTGCGGACTATGACTATCTAGGAGGTGAGGTACCTCGTCGTTACCAGTTTTCCGACGACGATGACTCTGCAGAGAGGGAGGCGAGATGTAGTGAGGGTGATGATGGTCCAAATCACAGATCCATGAAGAGTACATATGCAGTCACTCTTCTTGCAGTCGCTCTGCTGTTTGTGGGTGGTTGGAAGCGGTATCGCTAGTTACAGCCTTATAAGTATTTTCGCAAGTCTCTGCAGTCTACAATCCCTTGATACCGACCTTAAGGTAGTACGGATCGGCAAGGTGCTCCTGAAACCCTTCAGACATCATGTCATTAACATCCCAAGCAGCGAAGACAAAACGACCGTGCAAGAACTCGGCTTCTCGCGTAGCAGTCCAAACAGCAAACTGCCCACTCAAGTCCTCTGTAACAAAACATCAAAAAACCAGGGTAGCAGGTTTGGCTCCACGATATACCTTACCGTCGTACCATTCGATAGTATCCTTGGTATAGCCATGCCTTTTGGCTGACTCGGTTAAGACTTCACCAGGATGGAAGCTTATGACTTGCAACTTCTCGGGCTTCACGTCCTTGGCAATCTGCTGCACTAGGACTGCACCGGAGTTTTTAGTCAGACCATACGATGGACGGGCTCCTTCGGCATCCCATAGGTATATCTTGTTGGTAGAAACATTGACGAGGAACTGCGAAGAGGTGCTAGCGGTGTATTCCCCTAGTCATTGACAGTAGACAGTAACTCAAGTCAGTCCCACTCACGTGCGCCCGACTTACCTTCTGTTGAACGTGTCCAACTTGTTTGTAGAAATGTTGAGTATGGACAAATAATGCGCAAACGTTTACATCGAAACTGGACAAAATCGCGTCCCGACCGCTATCCAGAAGCGGCTCTTCAGGGCCATAGCATACCGCATTCAGCGCAAGGACATCGACTAGTGTTCCTTTCTTAGAAAGACTCGACCAGATGGTGTCACTTTCGCTGATGTCGCCGACGTTGCAAACTCGGGGGTCTACGATGGTCACCCCACTAGCATCTTCGATCTCATCTCTCAGTTCAAAAGTTGCAGCGATAAGAGCATCCTCATCGACATCTAAGATGATAATCTTCGAAACAGACGCCCGCGCAAAATTTCGCGCAATGGAAAATCCGATCCCTTCGGCAACCCCCGTAATCAGGACTGTTTTCCCTGATTGACTCAATTCAGGCCGAAGAGGTGAGATTGCTGGATATGGTCGTTTGTGAAACGTTGGAACAACCTGGGGGATTGCGATGAGGCGCTCTATGTCTGCGTTGACCATTCTCCTTGAGATTCCGAATGTCGTGTTCGACAGCCGCCTTTAGGATTGCTTGAAAGCTAAAAGTTGAAAGTTGAAAGTCTTGTTCCAATACTCTATTGCTCCCGGTGATAAAGGACAATAATTGCCGCAATGATAAGTTCTGTGGAAATGACGATTGAAGGACAATTGCACTCAGAGACACAGACAGGGTTTCTTTGAAAGCAACGAAGTCTCCACGAGAGAGAATGTGACCCAAGCAGCCGGATTGCTGACAAAACCTGTGATCGGGGAGAATTCCAAAGCAATTACTTATCTCGTGGACGGCGATGCTAAGAGTCGAGAGTGGAGCATGCGTCCTTAGCAAGCCAGTTTCAGTCTGCAGATCGAACTGATTGTTAGCCAGTTTGCTTTCAATCAGTCATTCCTAACGCGATACCAAATCTAGCGTAGATAATGCATAACCCGTCGGCTCATCTCAGCTGGGAAAGAAAGGTACGAAAGGCGGACGAAGGTTGCAATCGCCTGACTTTCTTCTAAGGTCTACTAGACTAGGCTACGTTCATCTACAGCGTACATTGTCTTAGCACTAACGACCCTTCGCTAGAATTTGACCAGACTGTTAGTAAGAGAATGTTTCTCCTACAATCTTCCTTCACGCCAGGACTGACGATAAGCGTTGCGCTAGAGGGAAAGATTGATGGGTCCCCAACATGGTCGACGTGCGCATGACTATTCCAGACGTCAGTTCAGCGGTTCCAGGCAGGTTTGAACTGATATACCTCCAGATCAGTGCTTCAATGCTAGCCTTATCGACCCCTCCACGTTCCAATAGATCTGCCACATTGTACATAGGCTCAAGTATAGCGCCTTCGATTGCCTTCGTTGCCTGCACAACATGAGGTGCCATGTTCTCCCAATCTTTGCGAGCCCCAAGATCGAAAAGGACGCGCCTGACCTTGCCCCCACTGTCAGTGTGAGTGAGCACAAACACATAGCTGATATCTTCGAATTTTTCGAAACCAGGTATCTGCGGATATGTGAACACGGCGGCTGGAATGTTTCCAATCTTAGAACCGGTGTCCATGATAGAGACATCGACGGTTTTAGTAGATTCTGGGATTGTGATCATTTTGTGGAATGAATGGTTGTTGAGGGTTGAAGAAAGAGTAAATTTTCTGGAGTCGAGGATTCAGATGCGTGCAAGCAGATTTGTTATATAGTCTTAACGGGGAAACTGTGGTGTCTTCAAGATTCGCTTCGTCTACAAACTACTTAGTAACACCACTAGGCAGAATCTTGAGCTGATTGTGTTGCGTCTCATGATGTGTTGACTAAAGGGAGCAAAGTGAGGTGTAGACCTGAAAAGCCTGAAGGGGATGCTGTACACCTTCGCAGAATACTGGCCCGTGAGCTCGGAGAGCTTATTTTGCGGCCGTAACCAGATCGGACACCACGATGCTACATCATGTAGTCATTGAGGATTACGTGGTATCGCTCGGTAAAGCGGAATATTGCTCCACAATTAACCCGACAGCTCTGGCCAAGTCAGGTGGGTATAGCTTAGGTCCAGAGAATGGTTGTCCGCTCATCGTGGCATAGTGTTGATCACGGTTATGGGCGATTCGTCCAACTCGATTTCATTTGCAATATGAGTGTGAACTTCATAAATCGTTTTCAGATCTCGTTTGTTAACTTGTCGGTGTGACCTTTGGAGGCGAGTGAGTAGATGGCATGTAATCAAGGAGAAAACACCTAGACATGAAACACGAACCCAGCTCAATAGAAGCGAGTGAATTCATATCCATGGAAAATGAAACGGGATTGATTTGATATGACCATGTGACTCTAATGATGGATATTGATCATCACGACGAGTTCTGTACTCCGACTTGTAGCCACTCTGGCACCTTTGCTTCCCATTGCCCGGTGCAAGCACTCGCAATACATTCGGATAAGCTTCCAAAACAGAACTCTCGGCCCGTGAGGCCGGGCCCGTAGTGCGCATACTTCCCTGAGTTTGTCATGATGCATCTTGCCTCCTTCTTGATCACGGGATCGCGGATGAAACACCAACACGTATCCGTTAGCACCTGGACACCAAACTCGTCCAGCTCCGCAATGTAGTTCGCTTGCGTCGCAAGACTGTGCTGTGCCCTCGATGTCGTTACGATTACAGAAGTGGAAGAATGTTTAGTACGTCTATGAACGAGTTGGGCAAGCGATTTGAGCTCGAGGAGCGAGAAGTGAGGGTTACCAAGGGACACAAGATCTACCGTTCGAGGAAGGACTTTGGAATCGGAATCCTGATTGAAAGCTGTCCACGTATCTTCCAAGTCGTGCCAAGTGATGCTGATCTCTGGCTGTAACGCGTCAGACTGTACGAGGCCTGCATATTGCTCGGCTTCCGGTGTAACGCCGAGCATATGGAACATGGGTGCTCCAGCACTGGTAGCGAACGCGGCCGAGAAGGCTTTCAAAGCGTCTCGAGATGGTGGACGCTCCATAGATCCGAAACCAGTGATGATAGGAATACGTGAGCCTGCTTTAGCGCCAATCCTACAGCCGAGTAGTGGCCAAAAGGAGTCGTCAATGGGCGGTTCGCGAACTTGGTTGAATGGAGGTGCGGAGATCGAGATCTCTGGTACCCTGTTCTTGGTCAAGTGGATGCTAGCTAGAGGAGCGCGACCGGTCAGAGCGATGAGTGTTTCGAGCATGTTTGGATATTTAGCCGTTCTTGAACCAAGAACGCTATTCGAGTAGCACACAACATTAGACTCTCCAACGCAACTTGGTCGCCGAGCTTCGGTGCTGAATCAAGCTGATAAGGCGCACATGTGAACGACATCTGAGCACCCATGTCGAGGAAAATCTTTGCCAACTCATCGCTCTCTATGCTGAAGCCTGTGTCAACTCCCAGGTCTCGCCAGCGTTGTCCGTCGACAGTAATAGCATTTACAGTAGTGGGCACCGCGAACTTTCCACCCAAATCACGAAGCCGTTTGCCGAAGAAGACGGATGCTGGCCCAAAGTGAGCGCCGTCTACATGTGCTTGACATACAGACATTAATGATGGGGCCTTCATGATGGTTGCTGTTCGGATGATGACCCTCATAGCCAGCTCGTGAGCCTTAGTGTACCCGCCTTTTCCATTGTAGTCACCTTGGAGCATGACTTTGTCAAGTTCCGAGAGCTCAGGCGTGTGAGGTCGAACGTGTTCAGGGCTCAAGGCTTTATAGTGGTCTTTTGTGCTTGCCTCCAATTGTCGTGTCGAAATGCAGTGACCTTGGATGAAGATGTTCCTCTTGTTCCATCCAAGTATGGTCTTGAAGTCCCCAGGATCTACGATCAGCATAGGTATCATCCTACCGAACACTTCTTCTGCGACAAAGAGACCAACGGCAAGGATCTCGTTGGCACGCTCGAAGATCAATGCCCTCGGCCCATTGCCGTTCATGATTAGTTCTAGTATCGTGGCTGACCCGGAACATGATCCACGTCCACCTGGTATAGCCAGTATCTTGTCTTTCAGACATTGCCGCACCAAGGGGTGGGAACGATCGATAACCTCTCCGGTGACATGGTCAACACCGCCCCAGAAGCTGAGTTCAATATTGGACGCTAGTAGCTCGCCTGAGACGTTGCCTTCAACGTGGGGTGCACCGTATACAATTTCCAGATGCGTGCTTGACGAAGGCACATCATGCATGTTAACGAATGGGTGATATAAGGTATGGATATTCAGGTCTTCTCAAAGATTGCAAGACGTTTGGGATAGGAATTCTTAAACAGCTTGTTCAGATTATGGAAGCGTTGTCTGGTAACGATCAGTCTACAGGATGTCAATGGTTCGAGGAAGAGGGGCAATTATGACCTCATTCGTGCACGTCAAATCGAACCTCGGCCTGGGGCGCTTGTAAGACAGTGGGCCGATGAGATGATGATAGAGGCGTACAATCAATGGCAGATAAGGCTCAGTCGTCGTGGAGATCTGGAGTTGTGTAGGCTGAAGTGTAATTCATGATCGGAAGGAAGGGTCGGTTCGGAGTTCGGACTGGTCCAATAACCGAGGACGGAGCTCAGGACCGCCTAAAGCGTCCATAAGACCAGCTTCCACCCTACAACTATCATGTTATCGCTTCGTCAATTCCGCACCCTCGGCAGTGCGATGAACTTGCCGCAGGTCGCCTTTCGAAGCAGCATATAAGAGGGCCAGAAATGACACCAACATAACGCAGAACTTCCATCACTCATTTCAAGCCAAGCTCTGGAATCCAGTCGTGAGCGCTCACAAAGCATACTTAAACTCTGACAATCATTCTGTCGAATATATTGCGGCAATCTGGTAGCGTGCTTCGATATGGACCTGATCATTGACACTCCACGCCTCAAGCTCACGCTCCTCACCACCGCACCCCGCTCTTCCCAAGAGTTCGACTGGATTCATGAACTCCGAAGCGACATACAGAGTTCATGGTGGAGGTAAACCCCCTCTCCTATCCCATCATTCTCAACTAACAGTACATCCAAGTCTCTACGGTGCCTCCAAAACTCCCGAGGATACCGAAAAAGCATTGCAGAATATCCTGCCGGTATCACATCTAGGAGGTGAGGAGAAAATATATCGCTTCCCTTACGTTGTCCACGAAATTGCCCAAAATGATGAGAGCAACGAGGAGCAATTCATCGGCCTGATCACCCTCCGCACCCTATCCGCCTTTGAAACGAAGTTTCCTCCACGCGACAAGCACGGTTCGACATCCACGTCGCTTTCACTCGAACTCGCTTACATGTTCCTTCCCCAGTTCTGGGGCCGTGGGTATGCTACGGAATCCATTACCGCTATTCTCCAAAGATGTGCGCGTGTACCAGCGGCTCACTGGACCCCGTACGACAAGGTTGTTGTGAGGGCGATTGTAAATGACGAGAATGGGGCAAGTCAGAAGGTAATGGAAAAGTGTGGTATGGAAGAGCCGGAGGTTGTGGAGTTTGAGGGCGGAAGGTTTTTCATTGCGGGGAAGTGGAGGACGAGGCATCGTTTATGTGTCTATGGCAGAGAGATTGTGGTTGGGTGAGGATAAGTTTTTGTTAGTGGTTTGTCGTAGGAAGGGCTCGAGACTTTGCTTGCATCTGGAAACATCGCAAGGCTTCGGACACCGGTGTGGATTTATGTGCTTCATCAGGGCTTTTGAAATCATTGTTTGCGAGAACACCATGTCCACCTCACCCCGTTCTCAACGAGCATGCGAATGAAGAATTGCTTGTGGGCTAATGAGAGTTACAGAACATTGGCCGCATTTGACTAGCATGTAATCGTCGTCTCTCGCTACTGTTGGCTCAGCTGCTCCTGAGAACTTTAGCGACGACACAGGCTCTCCGTCTCAATGAGAACTTTGAAGATTTTTTGGCCTAGCATTAGGGCGGCAATGGCAGCCAGGATGTCTGCTTAGCGAGATAAAGGTAAGCTGCGTTGCATTGTATTTCTTAGCTTGCGTCGTTCCGGTGAAGCGATTTGCCTTGTCAATGCTTTGCATACAAATAGTACGGCTCACATCTATATTTAGAAACCGGACTTCAAGAACAACCTACTTTAACGTACTTGGCTTTCCAAAGTACGTTCGAAGCAAGGCAGATAATGGGGCAGTAGATGAATGGCACGCCCAAACTAGGCTGGATCCGGCGATGTAGCTAGACCGATCGGGTAGAGGTGCATTTGGCAACCTGCTTCCCAGCAGTCTGTGATTGATGCCTTGCCATTGTGATTCTCGCCCGCTCTAGCAATCTATAGGCTTCATCTGACCAAGCCATGCATAACATTCCAACGAACCTATGCCACGTACATACAGGTCTGGAGCTTTGTGGCGTCCATGGCGCACAACCATCACGTCTATTGAGGGGTACTATCATGCAAGCCACGTCGGTTCATGGTGTGTCACGACAAGGCTGAGGGAAACTATCTAGTTAAAGGCATGTCTGCCTGTCTTCTCTCTCGTCACTTATCAGCAAATTACGATACGATTCTAGAGACAATGCATCGTTCCTCCTCGCACCGACGGTATCACGGACGGCAACACGGGCATCAACACGAAGCTTCACCCCAGGGACGTTACATCGGAAACTTTCTACGCCATGACTGGAAATCGACACTCGCATTCATTGCAGGACTAGTCTGCGTCGCAGCAGTGATTGCGTTCACAACCTGGTTGAGCAAGCAGATCCTCCACTGCCCAGAATGGGCAATCGAATGCCACGTGGCAGTCAATGTCGAAGAGATCCGGAAGAACATTGCAGTCGTACAGGGTTTGGTGACTGTCATCTATATCATCGGATTAGCGGCACTCGCATACGCTGCCCATGGAATGTCTGAAGTGGCGCTTTGGCCGCTGTTAAATATACGGTCCCTCACAATCGGCCAAGTGGATAACTATCTCGAAGCCAGTCGAGGCTCCATACTATCTTCATTGTGGGCCCTCACAGCTGCACGCAGTTTGCACTCTGTATTCGTCGTCTTTTGCACCATCGGAATAAATTTGCTACCCCTTGGTGCTGCCCCGCTCACCGGTTTTGTATATGACCAACGTAACATCACCACGGCATTTAAAAGCCAAGCCAGACCAGGAGGAGGTATCGGACCACCGTTCAGTCAAAATAATCCCCCAACGTCTCCTAATTCAGGGGCGACGGCCTTTTACAGCTCGTGGTCGACGGGTATCACTGAGGAGCCAATGCAGGGATATCAAGATTGGTTCATTGATCGTTCAGCTTTTGAGAAGAGAGGCAATATGACTGTTGTAGCTGTCAAACTGAAGCAATCCATATCATGTGGTGCTTCAAATCCGGGACCATACAAATGGAAGGACAAGTTCCTTTGTTTCAACACCAACATGAAAATAGGTCCGGGTAACCCCAATGAGACGAGGAGGGATGGGAGTGACGAGGAGGTTTTGATAAGGCCAGGGCAAAGGCTTACAGTGTGGGCTCACGAGTACAATTTTCATCCGCCGGCCAAAACATCGGCCACATTGTTCTTTGGTGCGATGAATGAGTCTATCGAAGGCGGAGAGGTCACTACGATTTCCGAAAGTCCCGCAAGGAAAATTTCCAATATTTCCACAATATCCTGCAGCATCAGCGTCGAAATCGTGGAAGACACTCTTGCTGTCGGATCAGCTCCGCAAGATCTACCAATCCCACAGATCAACTTCCTTGGCCGTCTTCGCAACCCTGGTGGGGTCAACAATAGGGACAACAATGATGAGCTTGTAGGAAGCCAGAACCTTACCTCTCTTGCACTCTGGTTTGTCATGGCCCCTATAGTCGTCGGACAAAGCAGCCGGGGTGCACAACCCCTCTATGGATACAATGAACCAAAGCTCCCTTTGATAGTGACCGCGGGCATGATAGATGCAAACAACACCAAACGGACGATCCATAGCATCAAGAAGTTCATTCGCGGGGCCATAGGCGCCCTTGCTCAGGCCGCGAGGGGTGGTCCGGATGATGGCGATCCTGTATTCATGACCTCCTTTGCCTTTACCCGGAGATTGGATCCTCAACGGGTAGCTCTGCTTGCTATCCCGCCGGTTCTCATCGTCATACTTGGACTGCTGCTGATGATCTGGAACCAAAAGCGTTATGTGAAGCTCCGTCTTCCTATCATGCGCAAAGCTCCGCTCAGTGAGATCCTCAAGAGCGCACTTACGGACGATATGTACTATGCAGTCCAATCTGAGAAAAGTGGGACCCATAAGCCATCTCGACTGGATAAAATGATGATTAAGTATGAGGAAGCGCCTAAGTCAGGAGAATGGAGTCTGTTGAAGGTAGGGAAGAACACCAAGGAAGAGGATAGCCTAGTGTCGGATCGGTCATGACCATATTTTCGCACTTATTTGATGAACGACCAAGGAATCGCTGGAAGATGTATCCGTGAAAACTGACATGATTCCAGCTGGACAAGAACGTAGGATAGATATAACACCTACTCAGTCAAAACAGTAAGATCACGAAATAGTGTATAAGGAACATAATAGATGTGAGACCCTTCCGTTCTGATTCGTGCCCAACAATAGCGGAAGATGTGTTTTCACCTGGAATCTGATCGTATTCCCAAGCACTGGAATACATCCGCCAGGCAGCAGTTCTATGTTGTGACGAAGCTCGTGTATAGGAATTCAAAGACCTTGGGGGTGACATGCCTGCCTGCAGTGGGGGACGAAGAAAGTGTGGAGCCATTGACATGTGTCTTGACAAACGTTGTCCTTGATCCAAGCAAGAAACACAGTAGAGCTTTAAATGACTATACAGGTCAACGATCCCGTCAATGATTCAAGCACAACAGACAAGAGCCGATGCATGTAGAAGAGAGATGTTAATAAGTGAGCAAACCACGTCGCCATGGTAATAAATTGGGTATCAATCTTCAGCTCGTAACTCATATATCCAAGTGAGCCCATTGACCCAAGGAACTACTTAACCTCTTCGTTCCATCGTATCGCATCATGAAGCGTATCGACATGCAAATCTTTCGTGAGAAATGTAAAGACAACCCCAAAAAACGCCGGTGATGCAATCTATCGTAATCCCCAAACCAAAGGAAGATAGATAGTAAGGAAAATGCTTCGTATATAGTCAGCGTTTACGAAGCCTCAGCCAACGCCTCCCCCAATGCATCAGCATCATAATCCTGCACAACAACCTTGGTAGGCGCATCCGGCACCTCATCAAAGAAGCCCCAAATAGGACCATTCTGATTGACGCCACTCGGCCTCAACTTTGGCTTCTTCTTCCTATCCCCATCTTTGGTCGTACCCTCACTAGCCTGCGAGTCCTGAGTAGCCTGCGAGTCTTGCGTGGATTGTGTTTCCTGACTAAGGATCGAAGGCGCACGATTGTCCGTAGTACTAGTGGCTGTAGCAGGGGGAGAGACGACGGGAGCGGGACTAGCACCCCACTTGCCAAACACCCAGCCTCCGACTTTCTTTGTAAGGCCTTGTCCGCTGCCACTGGCAACCTGGGGCCCATCGCTCTTCCTCGGCCCGCGCTTCTGGCTCGCAATGTTCGCGTACAACCTATCCCGCTGCGCCATGCTGCTCTGACTCGTCTTATTGCTCAGAGTGCCGTGGGCGGTGGCAGTCCAGGGTGTGAGTTCGGGCCCGACGGAGCCGGCGTTGCCTGGGGTGGCGAAGCGTGCGGCGTTGGAGTAGAGGAGTTGTGAGGGCCGAGACTGCAAAGTGTGGATGTCCATGCCAGAGACAGAGATGAGGGATTCGTGGGAAGCGTGACGACGCATTGCAGGGCGCATGGCTGTCATGGGGGAGACAAGGTCGTCGGGCTCAAAGTCGCCCGTGGATGTCATGAGTGAAGGCACTGCTGTTAGAAGCGAGGACTCTTCACTCTCCCGCTCCTCTGGAATGGCGGCCTGGGGCTCCGTCTGCTGGAGGTATGGCGATAACGTGAAGCTAGCATCCGAGAAGGAGTTTGCGGGGCTGACAGCCGATATCACAGCCGTTGCAGGACTACTCTTAGTTGTCAGGGCAATCGGTGTGCTGGAGCTGCGCATTGTGGAAAGGCTGGGTGGCATGAGGCCGCGGGATTTGCGGCGGAGATGTTTGCTCCCACTCTTGGCCACCTCGAGTGTGCCAGATGATCGCCGCATCATCGGAGGCATAGCGTCGGGGTCAGAGCTGTAGTCGTTGGACTTGACGGGACCGAACATGGGCGACTGGAAGTCGATTGAATCAGGGGGACTGGTGGGACGGGATGAGTCGTAGGCCTCGCTGAAGACGCGGTCGTACATTGAGCCGCGGTGGGAGTCTGATACGGGCGAGCCCGCGAAAGAGCCTGGTGTGAGAGTCGACGCTTGAGACCATCTGTGCGAGTTTGGTACAGTGACGGCAGTGTGTTCCAGTATTGTCGCCGTAGATGAGCGGTCGAGCGTCGGAGGCGGGTCAAAGTGTGTCGGGGTGAGCGAGAAGCGCTTCTTCTTTGGCCGCCGCTGCGCGGGCGGTTTGGGAACGTTGCGAGAAACCTTGGGGCCGTGGTAGTGGTGATGTATGTGTAGTTCCTGCTGTAGTGACGCTTCTTGTTCCATCTCCAGTTCTTTCTGCAGTGAAGGGCTCGTGACGTCTTCAGATGAATTCGATACCGGCTGGTGGACTTTGAGTTGGTCTCGCAAGCGCTCTACCTCTTCGTTCGAGTTGCCCAGTAGCTCGCGCAGTTCCAGTATTCCGTGTTGCAAATTCGCGTTATCGAGTAGAATGTCCTTGACAAAGTGGGAGACGACGTTGGGCCCGCCCTTGTCAGTCCCTGCTTTAGCCTTGAGCCTGCCGGCGGCGGAGTGGAGGTTTTCTTCGACAGCCATCCTGCGCTCCATGCGTGCCACGACTTCCATGTGGCGCTGGCGTTCGGCGCGGGATTCCTTCTCGATGCGGTCGATCTGGTCCTGGAGGTCTCCTATAGTCCGCTCTGCTACCTTCCATCGTTGTATGGCTGTTCGCTCGTCGACAAGTTTGGCGTCTAGACTGCTCTGCAACTGCGACTGTTCTCTTTCGAGGTCAATCAGCTGGCGCTCGAGGAGCTGGGTGCGCGCTGCAAGGGAGCTTAGACGGTCGATCTCGTCTTCGGTGGATCGTAGCGTGTCTTCCAGCGCGCGTATGTGGGCATCCGACTCGGCAACGGCGCTGTTGAGCTGCTCGAGCTGGTCCAAGAGGTCCCTGTTGGCCTTTATGGTTTCCGCATTCTTGGCTTCGAGCTCTATCTTGTCCTTCTCGAGCGTGTCGATGGTGTGGAGCATTTCCTTGCGTTCGCGCTCCGAGTCGGCGACGTAGGCTTCATGGCGGACGAGTAGGGCCTGCAGGGCAAAGGTTAGCGGCATGCGCGAGGTGAGAGCCGCGGCAGGGCAGGCGATCACTGGCAGTGCAGTGAGGAGGAACTTCATACCTGGCCCAGCTGTGCAGCCTTTGACACATCCCTCTCAAGCCCGTCTAAGAGTCTTCCGTTGTGAGCCAGGAACGCGCAGTCCTGGCTCCCACAGCAACACCGAGGCCCTGGCATGCCACCAAGGCCGGCCGTGTCCATGTGTACGACCCCTCGGTTCGCGTAAACAGTGCCTTGATAAGCGGCAGGTGCTATGCTGTTGTGAATAAAATATGCGTGCGAGTAACGTGGAGAGCGTCGCTCATGCTCTTTTGAATTATTCGGCGGGCAAGAGCTGCAGAGACATAGGGAGAGCGGTGGGAGCAAAAAAAGCAAATGGCGTAGGGGAAATGGAGGTGTGGTAGTCGACTGCTCGGGCGCGTCGAGCGATTTGTTGTTCCTGACTATTGCCCGCCGGCCCACAAGACACTCAACCAGGTGTCCCTGCCAGCAAAGCAGCCCCGCCAAGCCCCCTGCCACCGCTCTTTCCTCTCCGCTCTTCCCTGTTTCTATACATCTACTACCCCGATTCGATGATGCGCGCACAATCACGCAGTAACATATGTTCTCGCCCGTCCTTCACCATATCTTAGAGCCCTCATATGAACTGATATCGCTCAGCTGGCCGTCGACGTCAACGGCGCTCGGACGCACCGTTTTGCTGACCCCTGCGCAAAATCTACTGCGGAGTAAGATTGCTGATGCGAACGCCAATATCTCGCAATCTTAAGCCCAAAACAAACATTCCTGGCTTGGCGCCTGCCTTTCCCATGACTTCGACAGAATCAGTCACCAAAGTGCGAAGACGATGAGTATATAGAATGTCTGTAGGTGAGTGCAAGGTAGGTTAGGGTCGAAATCTCATACCAAGTCATAATCTTCTTTCAACGACTCTGCCATTTCATCGTTCCGGCATCACGTGCACTCTTCAGCCTCACTACCTACCCACGTATGACCCCTCACCGGATGGCTCTCAGACCTAGCAAGATGCGCATCACTCCGTTGAAACGGATGTTTCATCGTCTGCACGATGCAGCGCATGCTGTAGCCATGAACACGCGGCGCTTCCAGACGTCACCCAACTCCAGCAAGAACCCCACGTCTTCCCCACCATTACCACGTCAACAAGCCGAGAATCCGTCGCTCCCGTCCTTCAGCCTCATCAAGCAACTCCCGACCGCAAAACCAGCAGTGCGCTATACTGTTTATGCCGGCCTTGGTCTGATGGCTACTGTTGAGACAACTTTCTGGTTCCATGTTCTGCGAGCAAAGTTCTTTCCGCGTGCATCGAGAGAGGAGCAGGATGAGGCTGAGGCGTTGCTGGATCGCTTGAGTGATGCAATAAGAAGCTATCATCATGTGTGGATGGCGAATTACGGTAGGTACTATGCCGCGCACGTCTGGGGATTGGGATATGGAGGACTCGATGGACTGGAAGGTGGTTTTGTTTGATTGGTCTGTCACCCTCAACGCCACATTCGATGAGCTGAGAAAATGTGCCCTACTTGATGCGTTGTACATTATGGGGCGCAACAGAACAACATAAAGGCGCCCTACGCCAGCCTACCCCGACACTTCAAAAAGCTGCGAACTTCTCTTCCCACGTCGCAACTACAGACTTCCTGTTTATAATATAGTCGACCTTATGAGCATCTCTTCCCTTGATATTGAGGCTACCATATTCTAGCATTACCAACATGGCTGGTTTCTTTGATTATGAACACGCGCATCCGTTTGACCTTGCCAATTATGACGATCACTCAGTCGAATATAGTGGTATTGGTAAGTCGGTACTGTATCACTTACACACACACGGCTTTACTAAGCATCTCTGTGCTTAGACTTTGCCTTGCTCCAGCCTTTAGCTGGGTCCTCCGCTCTCGAAGTGTCGGATGGACAGGCTGGTCAAGTCTTTATGAACCCGCGTATCGCTTATGTTAGCGATCAATCGCCGTCGCACCCGGCCATGGATGCACACGCTTTGCACGTGAACGAGCGTCAGGAACAGTGAGTTGCCCGGATCGCCTAACCTTACAAACAGCGCCTCTTTTATCGGCGTCATTATACTCGACAACATAAGGCCATGCCTCTCTTCTCAGGTGATCACCCATGAATACACTTTGCGCTATGTGCTAATTGAGTTGCAGGTACGATCTTTGTGGATTCAAGTTGATGCGCTGCTCAAAGGACATAGGATACCGCTTCGACCGAAAGCCATCAGGACCATACCTCTCCAACCACACAGGACTATACCTCTCCAACCATACCGGACTTCCCCACGCATATACCCTCTACCAGACCGGACACACCCCAAGATCTGCGCTGCCTTCTTCATAAGGCCGATTTCATGAGGCAGTAAGATTCGCCGTGCAGTGGGCGTCAGAAAGCAATCGCATTATCTGTTAACGTCGCTTCGACTGTCTCACCCATGCACGATCGAAAGCTCCTCATAGGTCGTACGGCGCATTCGATTGCGGAGTACAGAGTCATCGTAGACGAGAACCGCGATCATTTGCCAGGCCAATGCTCCCTGGGTGGATGCCCGCGCCCAGCGGATGGAGGACCATGACTTACCCTGAGTCGGACGGATACCTTGTTAGTATTATCCTTCCTGGATGGATTCCCACGTACCAGCGGATGAAGTTCGTGACTTGCCACAAGTGACGACTTGTGACAAGTCTCGAACGGATTCCGCCTGCCATCGGATGCCAGCTGGCATGGACAAACATCTCGACAGCCGCGCATACCCCGAAATTTGTTATTTCGAAGATAGCCTAGCTAACGTTTATGTTCCATAGCTATCAGCTTCCCGTCACGTCGAATGCATCAGTCATCGATGTTGTACTTCCGCAACGGGCCGCACCTCGAAGTCACGGCGTTTCAGGTTATGAAAGTCCTCACATTCCTACTGCGAACAGTTCCGAGCACATGGTCATCGGCACCATCCTTAGTAATGGGGAGGTGCGCGGCGATCGATATCGATGCAACAAGCGCGCCTGTTCAGGCATGACTTTCGGTCGCCTTGCGGACCTCAAACGACACCACTCTAGCTTACATGGTGGAGCTGGAGGAAAGGGACAACGCACTTGGTGCCCAGTCGCTGGATGTGAGTCGACTTCCACGATGCGCTCGTCTCCCCATCATCAAGCACGCTAGCTTCGCCCGGTTCACAGGAAGCCATTGACTGACGCCCCTCCCCCTACGTTAGGCAACAGAAGCAAGAGCGGCATAGGAAATCCGTTTCCAAGGAAGGACAAGATGATAGATCACTTGATGCGCATGCATGCGAATCGGACGAGCTCTTGAGAATTGAGAATTTTCTCAACACGAGTTTTATGCTTTCCTACGTTATGAGATGTTCATTAGACCGATATGAAGGGCTTTACATCGGATTTCAAGACATGTCAATCTCTAATTATATCTACATCTTCTACAGTCACTCCGGTTCTCTCTCAATGCGTACATTCGAGGGCGGTGTGAGGGTTTACTTCGATCGATCAACCCAGATCATCTGAGGGTGTGGCTGCTTGCTCTCGGCAGATCGCGACTAGGCCCAAACTTTGATGCGCAAGGCTAGCTGATGTCCACGTGCAATTCGTACATCAAAAGTACTTGCCTTGCCTCAGGCATCGATTGAACCTTTTGCGCTGACAGCAAGGTATACAAAGGCCTCACAAATCTCACATATCTCGCTTCTTCCGATCACGTTCACTCTGGCCGGCATGTGGGAAAGGTGCTCATCCGCATATCTTCTGATGAAGCAGCATGCCGCATGCACATATGCAAAAGGCCGTATAGATATATATGAGCGAAAGACAAGGCACTACACAAGTGGCACGCCGTGATCGACTTGCCTAGTGACGATTCGGAGACATATGACTTTTGCGGAGACATACGTGATTCAGAACGGAGACTTTTAGCATTGTGCGAGCCCGTTCATGTAGCAAATACAGTCAGATCGGGCGTAACATCACAGAGAGTGCATGGAACGTCAAACAGAAGCTACATTTTCGAACGTCTAATCGACCATCAGTAATATATATATAAAACCGAGAGAAGCTTTGTTCTCGCTAAATCACTCCTTGTCGGCAGTATGCCTTCGTCTACCTCAATTTCCAAGACTGGACTCAACGATGACAACGTCATCTTTGCCGCTAATGAGGATGAGGTTCAGCGCCTCGACAAGCAGCACAAAGTGGTCTACTCTGCAATACCTCAGCTGTTCCTCGCACCCATAGACCTTGCCGAAGGCTGGTTACGGGTCTTGGACCAAGCTACTGGTAGTGGTAGCTATCTCCGAGCCGAAGAACTGTTCAAAGCTAACGAAGAGAGGTATCTGGCTTCGAGATGTGCGCCAGGCGGCCGGAGTTGCTTCGAACACATGGATAGGAAACGACATTGAAGATAGCTATTTCCCAAAAGAGACTCCAAACGACACCTCGTACCATCACCAGACCATGAACGAGCCGTGGCCGCTAAAATGGCAAGGAACGTTCGATCTAGTGCACTCACGTATGGCACTTCCGGGCGTCGGTCTCAGCTCACTGGACGATGCTGTCATGAACCTAGTCAAATTGGTGAAGCCTGGTGGCTGGTTTCAGCTGATCGAGATGTAGTGGCAGGACTGGGGTGCCGGTCCAGTGCTTCAACAATTTCAACAGGCCATGCGGCAGCTTGTGGGCATGGTCACCAACGGACAGGGCGTGGACATGAGGGAGGGCCCGACGGCATTGGTCGAGAAGGCGGGTCTAACGAAAGTGCAACACGCCATCTTCGCTGTACCAGCAGGAGTCAAGGCAAAGGAGAATGTGCGTGAGCTTAGCTTGCAAAGTATGTTTGCGACAGCTTCGTTGGCCACGGTCACGCTCAAGAAACTACAGCCGGTTGAGCTTAAGGCAAACATCGACTCATTGTCCGCTAGACTTGTGGGAGAGCTCGGCAAGACAGGCGGATCTTACAATCTGTTTGCTCTCTGGGTCCGGATGCCTGGGTTTTGTTGATACAGTAGGCGCACGCGTGCGTCGCTAATGCTGAAGTTGAATGTCGGAAATCTTTAATTAGTAGTAAATGAAACACAACGTTTATGGGGGCAAGTGAACTGAGAACAGCTCTACAGAACGTGGTGTGATTGCAATTAGGGGTACAAAAGAGCGTATACACATAGATCTAAGGATTACCACTACTGGACATAGCTCAGACGATGGAAGGTAAGCACGGCAGAAGGGCAGGCTGCACTACACGAAAACCGCTGACAGCTATAACTTCGAAACCAGACAAAGTGAGCCACAGCGGTGACAGCAGAAACATCTTCCGCAAACTAAACACCGGAGTCATCCTGCTCAATACCGACCGTTTCGGTATGACTCGTCCAACTGTCACAGTTGCTGGTCAATGTGTCATTGCTCGTGATGCCCACAATTGCGTCGTACTGCTCGACGAACTGCATCGCAAAGCCCTCAGACGTATGCCATCCAATGTGACAATGCATCAGCCAAGCCCCGGGGTTATTCGTCTCGAACGCCAATACCAAGTACCCGGATGCAGGAAGCATAGCGGTGTCACGACGGGGCGGATTGTCAAGGTTGAGAGTCGTCTCGCCATCGGTATAAGTACCTGTGCCCTGCGCGATGACGTAGAAATCATGGCCGTGCAAGTGGATTGGATGAGGCACAGCGAGCGTCGTGGAGATGACGACGTAGACCCATTCGTCAGCATTAGGCAACAGGAATACTGCGTTGGAGGTCTCAAAGGCCGTTTCGCCTTGCATGATCTTCATGAGGGTTGGATCTTCCCATTCAGAGACGAAGGTTGTGCTGTTCAACGTCCATTTGAAGAGATTGTCGCTGTTAAACCCAACGGCGACAGGCTCGTCGGCTGTGGCACCAGCTGTGGAACCAACGGTCTTGGAAACATATGGCACGATATTGTCGGTCTCGTCGGAGCAGCTGTCCTCGTAGTCGTAGGCCGAAGTAGTGGGGGTACCGGGTGCGTCTCCGTAATAAATGATGCCACGGATGTCATCTTCATTATCGTTCTCGGAGCAGGCTGACTGAGGAATAGCACGCATCCAGAAGTCAGTAGCATCGGTTTGGTCAGCTGTTACGACGATATCATAACGTTGGCCCATGCCGATACTGATGACTGTGGCTTCGTAGGGTTCGATAGCGACAAGATCAGAAGCGATCACGGTCATAGTGTGATTGTCGATCATGAACTTCCAGTGTGTATCCACGGCGGCATTTACAAGTCGGAATAGGTAGGATGTGCCAGAAGTGAAAGATTGATTGAATCGGTAGCCTCCGTCCTCGTACGTGTTCGTACCATTGATGAGTCCGTTGTCTAGTGTTGGAGGTCCAGAAGTCTCGGCGGTGATATAGAGTTCGTCAACAGTCTACATCGAGTTAGTGGAGTCTAACGACTGAGCTTCCTGTGGGCATGAACACACCTGATGATCCCAATCATTGAGCATTAGTACACCTAGATCTTCATCATAGTTGGTGGTAGCGGGTCCGTTGATGATGATGCCGCCGAAAACACCTTGCCATGCTTGCAGTGCGAAGTGGGAGTGATACCATGAGGAACCGTATTGCGTCGCTCGCCAAGTGTAGGTCATCGATTCACCCGGGGCTGTCGGACATTGCGTGATCGAGCCTAGTCGTGGGAGTAAGAAGTCAGCACTCTCTTACAGTCCGTTCGTGATCTAGGATTACTTACTGACACCGTCCTGGTCATTTGTGTTTAGCTGCCAGATGCCATGGAAATGGATGCTCGTGCCGTTGTTTGAAGTTATGAGCGAGTTTGTAACATGGACAACGACAGTGTCGCCCCAGTCTGCAATGAGGGTTGGGCCAGGAATGGATCTGAAGGTGCAAGTGGAGTCAGTGTATGTCGCAAATGTAGTTGATAGCGATGTTGTCTCACCCATTGACAGCCATGGCTGAGCGTGACACGCCGTCCGGTGCAACAGTAACATCCGTGAGCTCCAACCAGTATTCACGAGTAACCCCAGTATCGGGGACGTCGTCAGATGGGTCTACATCAATGGAATAGTCACACCATTGTGAACGTGTGGTAGCGGTGTTTCCGTCACAGGCTGCTCTAGGTCGTAGATCCGAAGTGAAGGGGAAAGCAGTAGTATAGCCAGCTAGAGCTGCGATACTGAAGATACAGCGAAGAAGCATGATATGAACCGAAGCGCAGTGTGATTACGCTGACAAAAAGAAGGACGTATCCACAACGAGTGTTCCGAAATAATGCACGAGAAAGGAGTGTAGAGCAATGAAAGCGAGTGTGAAGGAAGCTGGATGACTTCTAGTACGGAACGAGTGATTGACCTATATACTTTAGAGATCAGTATACCTTTGAGACTTCTTCCCCTCACCCTGCTATCATATCACCGTGCAGACAATAGTCGACGTTCGTCGTCGTGCCTCAAACTGCCCCTCTGCTATCCCCACCTGTGTTCAACGCCGCGCGGCATAAGACTGAGGCAGCGAAGACCTCCACATCGCAGAGCCGCTAACTTACTTTAGTCGACTCAGCCTAAAGCAAACTTTGTACGGCCCACACGCAGTCGTAACTATTCTTGTAAAGTCGATTGAAAGTTTAGGAGACATTCAACCGACAGTGATAACATGACACGCGCAATCCATGATGATCATGAAACAATTCCGGGTTGTTGACGAAGCCTCGTCACGGGGGAACAGCAGGATAACAAACTGTGGCTGAGAGCCGCGAAAGCGCCGCGCCTGAAGGCACGGGGAGCGCCAAGATGCCGCACGTTCCATCACGACTCAGGGACACAAGCCCCGTGATTGGTTGTGTCTAAACAAACACCCATAAGCAGATGTTACGAACTAGGTGAATTCCGATATAGCCAGCATTCGTGGCCTACAGACCTGGTAGCAGGGAGTCACGCGGCGGACGCGCCCGCCAATAGTGCGAATCTCCCTGTGTACATGTGTTGGGCGCCGAGTGTCGTAGGCATCGGATATCGTCCGAGATAGCGTTACGACGTTACGTCGGCTTTCTGATTCCAACGATAGGGCGTAGAGGCCTCGCGGCATGCTTGCGTTGCCTGTCCATATCTTGGCAAGAGAAGTCTTCCACCATTGGTGTCGACTTCCATAAAAGAGTACAAGCTGCAGAAATAACAGACCGTCACCCAACTTTGCCCACACTCCTTTATTGACTCTTCTTCTTGTCAGATCAAGATCCATTCTCTGCAAGATGCGTATCGAAATGCGAAACCTTCTGGCTGCCTCCCTTCCTCTTGTCGTCCTGGGAGCGCGCAAGCGCGATGTGTCCGCGTCTGCAACGTTCCAATTGTACGCTTACGGCGATGGCTTTGGTGGATTGCCGCTCTTCTATGCGGACGGCCTCGCCTATATTGGTGACCCGAGCCTTGCTAACAGCTCGGATGCTGCTGTCGTGATTTGTAAGTTCCGAGGTTACACAGGTCCTTCTGTGTCCACTTCCCAGCGACATATGCTTCAAATTCACTGACATCGTCAGTCACTACGGACTCTGATCACCACTTCGTCGGCAATCCGAACGTCACCGCCGGCGATGTTGCGCCCTCGTGGTCCAACGTCACGCTGTTTGTGCCCGAGCCCTCGTCCGGCGATAAGCGTGTTGGCTTCCTTCCGCCGAACGATGGTACCGGCAACGCTACCACGCATACTTCTGGCTTCGCCTTCTACGGGTCCACGGCCATGCTTTACGGCGACGATGGCAGCATCGCAACCTCTTTCAGCGGCATGCAGTCGCAGAAGAACGGCATCTACGAGCTCTTCTGGAACGACACTGAAGGAACAACACCGTTGACGCTGAGAAGGCAAGCACCTAGCAACAAGCCTAGTAACATAACCTCGGAAGCTCGCTAGATCGGGAGTAGACTATCTTCGAATGTTAGCTGTGACTTATCACTCTACTTCATAAATCAATCATATCATCCTTCATGCTTGTATTGAGTGAGCGTAGAGGAGTGCGGATTGCTGGCATTTGTTTACTTGTCTGGTGATCAGCGAGGCGAATACGATACAACTCTTCCCAATAAAAAGGAATGCCACTCCGAGTATCCGGGCACAAGGCATCGCATATTGTGGTGCCGCGACGGGCCTAGTACTCGTACTAGTATGGCGATGTGATGAAGAGGTCCCCATCAAGTAGAGCTCCTGCGAGAAAGCCTGGCGGCCGTACTTTCCCCACATCCAATGCAACCAAGCTTCACAACGAGTGTGAGTAGCGCAGATTTTGGCCGATACCTGAAATGAGAATCCAAAACGAAGAGGTTTGCGCGACACGACGACACGTGACGTGGCGAACGTAGCGTAAGCTGCATAGATTCGTCATCAAGAGACCAGCCACCAGATCCTTACAACGCAGCGATTCTGCCGCTGGACTTAGATGTCCGCGCATAGCATGGATGCTATCCATCTTGGAGTCTGCAGTCGGAAAGTAATGTTGTAGAAAGCAACATCAGTAGAGGTGGGCATTGCGCAGTCTTGGGATGAGGAGAAGTTCGGTCGTGGTATGGCGATGCAAATGCGTCGGAACCTCGGAGGAGCCCAACTGCAACGCGCTAACTGTGCTCCGAGCGCACCAGATCTCCGAAGATCTTGCCACACCTACCAGGCCACATCTTCCTTGCGCATGAGATGGCACGCGATGATCGATACCAATGCGATGCACTCTCACGCAGTCAAGCTACAAGCACTATATGGACACCGATGACGAAGTCTATTCGGAAGGGCGACAATTTCGATGCCTATACGACGGAAATTTCACCGCTCAATCTCCAATCTCGCGGCTTCACGTCTCGACTTCAAGACGCATGCGACGATTCATTCCGCTACATCAGTCAGCGAAGCATTCGTGTACTTCGCCATCGAGAAGACCTTGTCAGTTGAGAATAGTATGATCCGGCACCCGATCGTGGAGTTCGACATTGTCGCACAAGCAGTTGGACACCCCATTTGATCGACTTTTCACTTATCTCACCCACACGTTCGAATGCATGGAATACATGATCGTGCCAATTGCGTAGATCTAGGGTATGCGTTGAACGCATACCCGCAAGGCAACACAGTCATCGCCATTGACCAGAGTTTGCAATCTCGTGCCTTTCTGATCCATGATATAGCGCTGCTCATGTCGATCCGTAAGCTCATTGTTATCTGAGACCAAGGTCGTCGTCGGCAAGAGTGGAATAAGCAGCCACCTACGTCACCCCTCCTTTGATACATATACGAACCTCTCACTTGTCGGCGCGAGCCTATGATCAAGATCATCGCGTATTGATCATCTGGAGTTGCGCTGTCTCCAAGTGCGGGGAATGATGATGATACTTAACCGTTGAACCAACAGTTCCATTTGACTTGTAAACTCACCTCTCCTGCAATTGAACTCTTTCCCACGACTGAAGGATCATCAACCATGCAACTCAGCTCTCGGAAGATACCAGGCTATGCGCTTGCGTCCACATTTGTGGCGCTCGGTGGTATGCTCAATGGGTATGTCGTGATCGCAATCAATCCCTTTTGTGTGCTATAACATGCTGAAAATTAATGCACGGCGAAAAATGCTAACTTGCGGACAGGTTTGATACAGGCTCAGTCGGTGCAATGACTGAACTGCCCTCCTATACTGGAACTTTTGGTGATCTCTCACCGACTATGCGCGGCTTCACTGTCCCGTTGATCATGCTTTGCGGCACCATCGCAGCAACAATCGCCGGATATCTAGCAGACCGGTTTGGGCGCTTACGCATCATGATTGCTGGCGCAGTACTGTGCACCATCGGCTGCATACTCGAATGCGCTGCGTTCCATCTTTGGCTGTTTCTCGTCGGACGTGCCTTGATGGGAATCGGCCAAGGATTTGCTCTCACCAACATTGGGGTGTACATCTGTGAGATCGCACCGAGTCGAAGTTGCGGTAAGTTTATATCGCTGCCGCAATTTGGAGCGGCCATTGGGGTGTGTGTTGGCTATCTCTCGTGCTACGGAAGCATCCATATCAAGGGCGATATGTCGTGGCGCTTGCCATGCATCCTGCAAGCGGTGCTCGCAGTACTTTGGGCAACTGGGTCTTTTTTCTTACCAGAAAGCCCATGTTGGCTCATCTTGCATGGATGAAGAAGCCAGGCGATGGAAAAGCTCAAGAAGTTGGACTTTGGGACAGCTGAAGCGGAGAAAGATGTGTTACGGCCTGTCGAGACTGTAGCTGCTCAAGACCAGATTGGAGTACTGGCAGGCTTACGCTTGATTTTCACGAAAGATTATCGATCGCAAACATGACTCACAGTGTTCATACTTTCTTTCATTCAGCTCAGCGGCATTGATGGGGTGCTCTACGTATGTGTTATGCCATGCAGACAGGTTGTCATTGCCCCTGCTAACACGATCTCCCAGTACGCGCCGACGATTTTTGCGCAAGCAGGAATACCGTCACAAACAGCATCATTCATCGCATCTGGTGTCAGCGCTATCCTCATGCTCGCCTTTAGTATCCCTGCCACACTTCTCGCAGACAAGTGGGGTCGGCGCACGTCTGCCATCTGTGGTGGAGTGATCCTTTCCGCGACCATGCTTCTGATCGGCTCTCTGTACGCTGCGGATGCTGTACACTCATATGGTGCGGCACGATGGGTCGTTATCGTTTCCGTGTTTGTGTTTGCTCTAGGATACGTCTCTACCTGGGCTATCGTTGGGAAGGTATGTGCGTCGGAAATACAACCCACTAAGACCTGTGCGACGACTAATTCGATGGCGACGGGTGGTAGTTTTGTGGGCAAATTGCCCATGCTGCCTAGCTACAAACACATCAGAATCCCCTTGCGCATTGCTTAGTGATTTGTCCCGATCAGCTCGCAAATTGGCTCGTCGCTTTCGCGACCCCAATCTTTCTGGCCAGGTCGGCGTATGGTGCGTACTTCCTCTTCGGTGGGGTTGTCCTCTTGACACTGCTGGTACTCGCAATCTGCATGCGCGAGACGCGGGGTTTATCGCTTGAGGATATACAGATCTCCTTTGCGCGATCTTCAGCACGAGTGTCACCCATCTCTCCGGCTTGGACCCGAAGACGCGGGTTTGAATGATAAGAATCCGCAATAGGTCATACTCCATGATATGGTAGTGTCGTATAGAAGTAAGGAGAACTTACCGCAATATCGCAGTTTGTAGGAAAGCAGAACGGGATACGCACTAGACCAATACCGTGTAGCTAGTAAATTGCAATGGAGATCTATCGATCTATGACTACGTGTTCTACGCTAGACTCATGTTTATGGTTCATCACGTAAGAGAAATGGTGATGGGTACTCTACTGGACCGCATCGTCTATTTGCCATCCGCATTCTTGTAGCAAGGGAACCAGCATTCGAAGTTCTGCGTGTTTGGAGCACTTCCATCAACGACCTTGCAGAATCGTAGTGGTTGCCGGTTCGGGTCCGTGTCGGGGTCGGTCCAGGGTCCACGGCCGTTGCCCTCCATGTCCGAATCCCAATCGAAGAAATTAACGTTGACGCCGTCTTGGCCTGGTGCGTATTCGAACTCTAGCTTGCTACCAAAGCTGCCGGTGCGCTTCACCTGTAGATCGTTGGGAAGGCCCTGCAGGTCGCACGTATCGCCATCATTAGCCAAATTACACCCAGCTGGGGTCGTGTCCTTGTTTTCCCAGTCACTGAGCTTGACGTCCTTGATCGTCGCGTCGCCATCGCGCGTGAAGGCAACGCTGCACTGGTAGAGTTCCGCGTAGACTGTGTTGGACAGCTTGTACTTGTTGTCATCACCGGCACGGTTATAGTAGCTAGTGAGCTTGCCAGTAGGGATCTTCTTCTCAAAGAGCTCGAACTGCATGCCGTCGGACCCGCAGACACCCCCAGGGTTAGGGTTCGGCTGGCAGAACTTGAGTTTACTCTGATCAGCACCAGTGATGTCGAATTCCACGTCAAAGAAGTCGTCGCGGACCATGAACTGGTTCTTCACGATAGCACCCAGCTTGCCACCGATGGATCCGTTCTCACCGCTTGGCATGCAGCGTAGACTGTTTGGTGCCAGTCGATTCGGATCGCCGAATGGGAACTGCTGGGACAGTGCAGGAGGCCACTCATCACATTGGTATTCACCTAAACCTGCCGTCTTGTCGCTGAACTTCTGGCTAAATGGGAATTCACCACAGGGGCTAAAGCCTCCAGCAGAGCAGCCAGAGGCCTCTCGGTTCTTTTGATTCTCGCCATTGTTGCCATTCGGCCCGATATACACGACCCTGTTTGGATTTGGGATGTTGGCGTATGGGGCCTACCGCAGATACGAGTCAGTTCTAGGTGAAGGTCATTGAGCTGGCCAATACTAACCACGCAATTGATGTAGTAACAAGCATTGTTGCAAGCACCTTCTCCACCAATACATGATATCTTCTGGGTACCGAAGTCCTTCCCAGCGCGCTTCTCAAACATTCTGTCCGCCCTTCCGGGTGCCACGATAGCAGGCACATTGTTTCCCTGCTCCAAGCCCATTGAGGCCTGGAGCAGCAGAGTAGTAGCCAGTATATAACGCATATTCGACCACGGAATAGACTTGTTTGATGAGAAAATTATCAGAGACCTCTGAAAGGCAGAGAAAAGCGCAAAGTATGAATAATATGCGAGGAAAATGGCAAGCAACGAGGGGAAGTATGAAGTCGAAGAACTGTGCTGGTAGTAAGAGGTATCAGTACGACATTCCAACCTCTCTTATACCATCACAATACCACTCTCACTTCAGAGTATACTACTATCATTATCAATGTACTTCGATCCTGGCGGCTACATCTTGGGGGCTGCGCACTGCATTCCTCATACTACCTGATACTTCCACGATACTCATGCTCAGCATAGTTCCCAGGCATCCATCGGCGTAGAGTTGGATTCCAAGGCCTACCATTCCAATAAGCTCCGGCATGTCTCAGATACAAAGGTCGTCTGACCAACTCGCCAGTACGCCTACAGGCGTAAGTATTTCAGGACTCTGTAAGGCCGCGAACAGTGCGCAACGCGAATGAGTACATATAACGTGAGAAGAATCGCGATGGATACAGCTCGGTGTTAGTGATGTAATTCCATTCGCTGTGTTGGAATTGTTAGGGATTCAAGGTCTCCGTCTTAGCTTACAGTGCAGCTGCAGTTCAAAAATAAGGTGCGGCGCAGCTGCGCAGCGGCCCCACGTAAGTAAGCATCCGCTCCGCCTCATTGCCTGCATGTGCGAACGCAAGTGACGTCAGTTAATAGCAGGACCATTAAGGCCGCTGCTTCTCCGCGAAATCAAATCAACAGCATTTGCAGCTTTCTTACTTCCAAACCATATCGACCACTACATACAACAAACATGTCCGACCCTCCTTACGCGCTCTTTGTCCTCAACAAGAGTATTACGAATGAGGTCAGTAACGCTTCGTGCATCGAACCTCTGCCGGGTACTAACAATTGCAGGATCTCAACTCCGTCCTTGAGCGCGCCTACCATGGTGACGGCGACTCGGGCTGGAACTTTTGGGTCGCAACCGACTCCTACGATGACTTGCCAGCATGTCCAGAAGTTCACAAGCCATCTCCAGATGCTAGCGGAACTGAGCCCCCTATCCCGTCCTCCTTCGTCTCGCCCTGGCTCGGCAAGACACCCGAAGACTGCGCAAAGTGGCTGCAGGCGATGCCGCGCACTGAATCTACGGACGAGAAGTATGTTGTGGACACGCCTGTGAACCCACGGTACTTTGTATTTCTGAATGAGTTCTCAAAGGACGAGGATCTGGTGTTTGTAGCGCGCATCATCCAGGAGGAAAGGGATGAGATGAGAGTTGAGTATTTCCCGCAGTCGACCGACCGAGTACAGATGATGATGTGGACGAATTGGCAGTTCAACGAGAGGGCAATCATGTACCAGCGGCAGCAGCTCAGCAAGAAGAAGCCGGATCGAAGCCAGTACGATGGGCCGAAGAACTAGAACTAGAGATTGCTCACCTTACGAGACTAAGGGGCAAGGGTCTACCAACAGCAAGAGAGCGATGTCGATTTTCCGCAAGTTGTAACATTGAATCCTAATCTCTTGACAACGTCATCTCTGAAAAGAGCACCTTCTCGTCAACATTTTCTCTGCGTAATGTGGCCTTGGTATGTTAAGTACGCACGGCTGGTCCACGTGCAATCTTCTATGCAAGGATAAGATAAGGCGCATGGACTGGCATAGCCTGACTGATGATGTAGCGCTAGGACTTGAAGGGTGAGGTCGAATGTCACAGATGTGCGGTTGCGGATGGATTGAGAACGAGGCCAGGCCCTACTGTGGGGCTGAGGTCGGTAATGCATGGATCCCAATCGCTGTTACATACATGTGAGCAGTCATCCTTGCATCTCAGTGCTGCGCACCTCCCCAACCTTGCGCCTCATCCTGCGCCACCAGATCACAATGAAATCACACGCGCCTCTCGAACGCACAACAAAACAGACTATGCAAACGTTCGATATCGAATAAATGGTTGCGCGTTGCAATAATGTCTTTGCGAGCGTTAAATACCTTTTCGTGCAATCGTTGTCAGCTAACAGCGGCACGAAAAAGAGGCTTAAAGAATAGCGCATGCAGTGTGTTAATCCTCAACAAGATCATGGCATCGCCAACCTCATGTGATTTACAAAGTACTACAAAACCGCGTTTGGCAAAACAAAGCGATATCAGTTTCCAAGGTTGCGCTATCGCAGCGCGTCGATTATAAGGTTGTGTCCCACTAGCGTTGGTGCGATGCCGAGGGCGAGGGCGAAGCGTGCCAGCCCCGCGTCCTACGAGCCTTCCCGGCTAACAATCGACAGCCAGGCCACCACCTCACCGCATCTCATCCTGGTTATCATTCTAACAAATGTAACTTCGGCTCACCTCCAAGCCGCAAAGAGGATGTGGAGCGAAAGATAGCGTCGTAGCTCTAGCCAAGATCGGACCACATTCCGTTCACAACCCCGCATCGGCAGCGGAAACCCCGAGTAACTGATAACCGCGTATCTAACTGATAATCCCGTATCAGTGCATGGTCCGCTGGATATGTTGATATAAGCTCAGTAGAGCGCTTGGCTTCACAGGCTTCTGCATCATCAGCTTTCACGTTGTTGGTTGAAGTCGGTGCAAACACCTTCATGCCGAACATGACCACCGCGACGAGAAGCCTGGACGAACCCAGCGCGAGTATGACACCAAAGCTTTCGATCAACGCAGAAGAAGTCCGCGAAATCGTGGAACTTGAGCATGCGCTCACTTTTCGCGAAGCCTTGTCTCTCTATCCCAAAGCAATTGCATGGTCGTTTTACTTCAGCTTGGGTGTGATTATGTTAGGTGGGACAAGGTCGCCATCGTCTGAACTGTTTCTTACAATCGAGCAGCATTCGATCCTCAACTTCTCGGCAACTTGTACGCAGTGCCTGCTTTCCAAAAAGATTTCGGCTATGCTTTCGGAGACGGGTACATCATCTCCGCCGCATGGCAGACGGGACTTGGAATGGGTAACCCAATTGGCCAAGTTGTCGGCGCGTTGGCCGCAGGTTATCCTATGGAATGGTACGGGCGCAAAAGAACATTCAATGCATGCGTTATCGCTGTCGCGGGCCTGGTCTTCATTCAATTCTTCGCGCGCTCACTTCCAGTTCTTCTCGCTGGAGAGCTTCTTGCTGGACTAGTACTGGGCACGTTTGTTGTCATCGCCCCTGTCTACGCATCTGAAGTATCACCCTTGGCTATGCGAAGTGTCTCGACCTCGTACGTCAATCTTTGTTTTGTCACCGGCCAATTGCTTGGAAACGGAGTTGCCGCTGCGACCCAGCATCTTCAATCGCACTGGGCGTATTCGATTCCGTTCGCAACGCAATGGTTCTGGGTCTTGGTAATTCTTCCAGGAATGTTCTTTGCTCCGGAAAGTCCATGGTGGCTGGTGCGTCAGAATCGCCATGAGGACGCCGAGAACTCTCTTCGGCGGCTCGCTAGCGACAAGGTCAACGTCAAGGCTGTGCTCGCACAAATCATCGAAACAGACAGACTGGAGACCGATATGGAAGCGGGTAGTTCGTATGCCGACGTTTTCAAGAAGGTCAATTGGCGCCGCACGGAGATTGCGATCGGGGTGTATTCCACCCAGGTCCTATGTGGTGTGTATCTCATCAACTACGGAACGTATTTCTTCACCCTCGCTGGCCTTGAGACCGCGCAAGCGTTCAACATGGGCATCGGGTTCATGGCTATTGGTTGGGTCAGTGTGCTTTTGTCGTGGTACTTGATGCAAAAGTTCGGCAGAAGAACGCTCTTCAGCGTTGGCCTCACAATTCTGATGGTGCTCATGTTTCTTGTTGGTATACTTGACCTCGTACCTACAACAGGAGCGACATGGGCGAAGTCTTCATTGTAAGTGTGCATTGTTCTGGCGTTGAATCTTGTGCTGACTTTCCAGGCTCTTGGTGTGGAATTCGGTGTACAACTGGAGCGTCGGACCCGTGGCTTTTGCCATTTTTTGTGAAGTCAGTGCGACAAGGGTACGCTCGAAGACTGTCGCTGTCGCAACCGCCATTCAGGCTCTTTTCGGAATCATCATGACTGTCGCGATTCCGTACTTGATCAACCCAGACGCAGCCAATCTGGGTGGCAAGCTTGGGTTCTTCTTCGGTGCGCTCAGCATCCCGTGTCTGGTGTGGTGTTATTTCCGTGTTCCCGAAATGAAAGGTAGAACGTACGAAGAGCTGGATCTCATGTTTGAACGAAATGTACCCACGAAAGCATTCAAGAATCATGTCATAGACTAGGACTCGCTCATGACAAAGATAGGGTGTCGCAATGGCTGCTTCTATGGCCAGGAGTATGGTCTTTGGAGGATACGTGCACGAGGAAGAGGTTGTGGGAGCACAAGAATCTAATTTGCTACTGAACGAAGAAGAAGATATTGCTTTGCATATCGCAATCACATCAACGGCCATCTTTATGCTCCACATTCAACCTTTCAAAATTTCGCCCCCAACTCTTCACAATCAAATTCGCCAACCAACCTCCTCCATGAACACTGTCGCTTAGACGCACGTAAGATCGGCAGTAGCCTCGTCGAAAGTACAGCGGTCGGTGTGCTCGAATGCAAGCTATAGTTTTGTTGTTAGTCGAAGTTATCCTGAGCTTCCGTGTGTAGCTGGAACTTACGTTGATGAACCCACCGTCGCCCTCGGTGAAGAACTGATTGGGAGCGGCGATGTACATACACTCGTAGTCGGTGTTGAGAAGTCCAAGTTTAAACTCGACAGAGTTCTGACCGTCGATGTTGGCGGGGTCAGCAACCGAGAAGCCCTGGTTGTAGCAGGCGGCGGCTTGGAAGCGGGTAGGGTCGGGATTCCTAGCCATCATCTCCTTGGTGGTTTGCTGGGTGAAGGCCTCCCGAGCAGAATCGAAGTTCTGGACGTCACCAATGAATTTGGCAGTGGCGCTGACGGCCTCGGAGACGACAGCGCTGACAGCTGCGGTACCAGCAGCGACGAGAATAGTAGCGAGAACTGGCTCGCGCTTGCTGAGGTTATTCTCTCGGGCCTCGAGAGTGCCAGCGCTCACAGGGACGGCGGCGCCGTTGACGATAGCAGAGCAGCCGGCAAGAGCGGCGATGACGGTGGTGAAAGAAGGCATGTTGAGTGTTGAAAAGTCACAGACTTGAGGTAAAAGAAGCGAACTGACGAGTGTTGAGAAGACAAAGTGAAGTAGTGAAGGCGATGTGAATTGAATGGATGATGGGTAGGCAGACGACTGGACCTCACCTTTTGTACTTTCTAGCCCGTCACCTTGATCTGAGTGCTGTCACCGTTCACTCATAGCATATCGCGCAGCCGAGCTCTCAGTCGGTCCGAGGACGAAGTGACCCTTGGTGTACCTTGCACGTCACATCTTCAAAACTTCTCTCCAGGTGCAGTCCCTTGGCAGAGCAGATATTTCAAGGTTTTCAGTTATACAACCTGAGGCGACGAGATAGAGGGGTGAGTCGCTGGAAACGATCTCGTGACCTGTTAGTGCCTGTTTCACGGGTATTGCCGATGTCACCATGGCTTTCAGCCTCAGTCTAGGCCGAAGAGTCATGACCACGCTCGTAACGACGCAACGTGCCCGCGGCTGTCAGTCCACCCGTAGTGGCGTCTTGTAAAAGGTACCAATCGCGAATCGAAGCTTCGGTATGCGCCTCTTTTTGAACATCTTGGCATGATCCATCTGTAGGGCCGACTTGATCTTGCTCCATACGTAGGGCCGACTTGGTGTCACACACGGTTTCAGCGGGGCAGCGGTCAGACTTGGCACAGCCTTGTAGCCAATAATGACTACGGACACTTACAGAACGCTGTGAGATGCATGACTGTGACAAGGTCGCAGTCGTCTTGGCGGACCTTCTAACACATGCGACTCATATCAGAGCCAGAACTGTCGGTAGGGGAAGCCGAGAAGGCATGGATATTGCAGCTGTTAAGGGCGTGCTCTTTCTCGAAATCGGATGTCGGCAAGGTGCCGACCCTCTGTGCAATACACCGAGTTCTGCCAGTTGCAGACTTGGCTTATGCTGTCGAGCTGCATTGAACACCGTCGGAACACCACTCTCACGACGCAGCCAACGCAGCGCCGGTTCGGCGAAATTTACTCTGTTGAAGCATTTCCTTACTTTCATGAAGGCGCTTTTCGACCGTCCCAAAATCTTCTTTGCACCCTAGGCAACTTGGCAGTCGCCCTGGGTTTCTCACGATGCCCTGATAGACAGATAGCCGGCGCAGATGCAGCCAAATAACAAGCCTAACAAAAGCAACAGACCGACTGCACAACACCAAGGGTGCGACATAACACTCACCCTGCAGCTTCAAACAACTCAGGCAACGTCGTCTGGCGAAACGAAGCAGCAGGCGCGCTCTTCTCTATTAAATACAATCTTAGTATACTTGTGCAATAGCTTCTTAAGCTTAGCCCCTTACATAGATAACGCGATAGAGAGAAGACTAGCGAGGGAGATAGAGGTAGTAAGAGAGGCGAGAATAGAGGGAGTAGAACTCGCGCCAACGCGAAGAACAGAAAGTAATACCTACGCTAAGGCAAGGTTCTAGTGGAGTCCCATACAGTTGCTTTGAGGTAGGTAGGTAGAAATGATATAGTATGATCTACTTACGGCCTACAAACTTCTGAAAGCGCCTTAATCGTCTACTAGGCGCTATTATGTGTGTGTGTCTGCATGCGAATCTTCGTCCAAACTGCTATTTGTGCTACTTACTAACGAGGTCGTTGGATCGGAATATACTGTATCCCGAAACCGTATGGATGGGGTAGGGTTAGGTTGCCCCTAGGGGCAGCTACGCTTTTCGCCCCTAGGGGCAAGAGACTACAAAGTCTGCCCCTAGGGGCAAGGGAGAAAGGCTGCCTATAGGGGCAAGACACTACGGAGGTTGCTCCTACAGCAAAGGATAGAAGCTGCCTCTAGCAGGACAAGCTAGCAAGAGCTAATAAGGCTAGGCACTACTTGCCCCTAGGGGCAAAGAGGTCTGTGCTAGAATTTGCGTACGTTACTTCTACCTATAATTACGCTAGCACTGTACAGCTTCTCTCTAACTAACCTTTCTTACTAAAAACACCTCTTTGTTTATACTCTCTACTTCTAACTAAAGAGTATCTGCAATAAAGCGTAAAGGCGTAAACGTCTTAGCAGAAGTAGGTAAGAGGCAACATACAGCTATAAAGGAGATAAGGGAGACAGACTGCGTCTACAATTAAGCTGCGCTGTACCTGCTAGTAATAGCTAGATTTCTAATTAACGCGCTTACCTTAGAATAAAGTATTAGAATAAATAGACCTATTAACTAAGCTTATAAGCGTCGCCTCTGCTAGATTTTTAATAAGGCAGGCGTTCTTTAGTAAGACGTAAGCTACTAGTTATAGGTTACTTATTTAAAGGCGCAAGTGCAGTAGATGCTAGACTACCTAAAGGATAAGGGTCTAGCTTAGACTACTACTACTATAGCTAAGAGCGCTAAAAGAGATTTAAAAGATGTGGATGAGAAGGACAAGAGTCTGGTCGCACGCAAAGCTCCTTTGGCCCTAGGATAGTGTATGGTCCTACGGGTTGGCCCAGGTCTTTTGTCAAGTCCCTGGGACATTTATGCTTGTTCACAATATAGTCTAAAATAGACTTGATGCAGCCGCTGAGAGCGAACTGACATATGCGACAGACGATGACAGGTTCTAGCTCGTTCAGGTGAAGATTGAGTTGCTTTATAAGCTGTTCTACGGCTTACGCAGGGGCGATGGATCGATCCTCCATGACTGCGCTATGATAAGGGAATTTTCGAAGATGCCATGCCTGAACCCACAGACGACCTGCGACGAGGAGATGGTAGGCACTACTTTGGAGGGAAGAATGTCTGGACGATTGTTTGTGGTGGAAATAACAAATCAAGGGGGCTGGGGTGGCCTAAGCGTTATATGCTATTTCTAAAAAGGTTCAGCTTTGGAACGGGGGGGGGGGGGGGGGGGGGACTTTCCCCAAGGGAAACCCTGGGTTTTTTTTGGGTGTTTTGTTTGAATTTTTACAAATTAAAAAAACCCAACACATTTAAAAACAAAGGGAATTGTTCGCCCGCCCCCCCGTAATTCATTTTCTTTTCTCTAAAAAAGTCCAAAAACGCACTTTTCCAACCTTCACCCCC